TCCTCCACCTCGGCCCCGCCCTCCGCCCCGCCCCCGTCTGCCTCGTCATCCGAATCGTCAAATTGTACATTCACTCCAATCGTCTCGTCGATCTCATCTTGCTAAATTTAATTAAATTAAATATTATACACATAATAAATAACATCATCACTTAATAATATAATAACAATAATAATAATAAATAACAATAATAATAAATAGAAACCATAATAACAACAGTAGTAAACAATAACAATAAATAACCCATAATGCTAATCCTCAAAATCATATTATATATCAAAATATTACTATAAATTATTATCGTATTATTATTATTATGGATTATTATTATCATAATTATAAATTATTATTACATCATTACTATTAAAAATTACTATTATATTGCCATTATAAATTATTATCGTATTATTATTATGGATTATTATTATCATAATTATAAATTATTATTATTATGGATTATTATTACCATAATTATAAATTATTACTATTACATCATTACTATTATAAATTACTATTATACTGTCATTATAAATTACTATAATTAAAACAAACAATAACAATAATAATAACTCACATTATCATATTTATTCCTGTCCTCCTCCAACGAGAAGTCAGTAATCTTCTTCGCCAGGTTCATCAACACGGCAATCCTCTCGTCAGTCAATCCCCCCAGCAGCATCTCCACCTCCTTCTTTCTATCCTTCTCTCGCACCTTATCCGATTTAAGGGTCATCAACACCTCGTCTGCTGCTCCGCACAGGATATCGCGTGGCTGAAATATTCATTACTATTACTTTATTTACTTTACAATTTAATTTACTACTTTACATTTAACTTACATTATTTAAATTACAATGTATAATTTATAATAATAATAATAAATAATAAATCCACCTGATCTCCCAACGCGTCCTGAATATACGCCAGAATCGCCTCGTAGGTCTGTTTCGTCTCCTGTGTCCTCGGTTTATACAATCCCATCAGTTCGTTATTCGATTCTGCACTCAGCAACGACCCGCCTTGTGACATCGAACTCGGGTGGTACGATTCGAACTCGTTCTTCTTCTTCCTTTAATAATAAATATAATAAATAATAAATATAACAAATAATAAATAATAATAAAAATAATAAATAATAAATAACTAACTTCTTCGGCTTCTTAATATCCTCTTTCGGTGCCTTGCCACGCTGATATTTATCCCCCATCTTAATGCCTTGCAGTATGGACTTGGTCAAGGGCATCACCTCACCCGTCGGCTCATCTCTACCTCGACGATCCGTGAAGTTGAAGTCCACTTGTAAGACCAAGTTACTGTTCTAAACTATTATATATTAATAATATACAATAATAAATAATATAATAATAAATAATACAATAATAAATAATATAATAATAAATAATATAATAATAAATAATA